AAGATTGCTTGCTCCAAAATCGAAGAGGCACCGCCCTCCGAATCTCGAGAGCCAGACTCCCAACATGATTACTTTCTCAAAAATCGAAGAGAGGGTAAAGGAACAGTACCACTGCTGGATAATTGAAAAGTCCCTGTGTGTCAACCTCTGTGCTTCGTGGCAAGTTAGACTAGCAAACACGTCCAACCTTTACTCACATTCGAGAAAACACTCCCAACAAAATTGCTTGCTCCAAAATCGAAGAGGCACTGCCCTCCGAATCTCGAGAGCCAGACTCCCAACATGATTACTTTATCAAAAATCGAAGAGACACCGCTCTCCGAATCTCGAGATCCAGACCCCCAGCAGGATTGCTTTCTCAAAAATCGAAGAGGCATCGTTCTCCGAATCTCGAGAGCCAGATCCCCGACAGGATTGCTTGTTCGAAAATCGAAGAGGCACCACTTTCCCAATTTCAAGAGCTGGATCTCCTTGGATAAAGCTTGTCTGTAATCTTCACACGCAACATCAGCTTTCCAGATACCACAGACCACTTTTTCAAAGTGCTCTGACGGAGTTAAAACATGTGAAGCTGGCAGCTCCCACTACCGTGCTATAACCAAGCAGGGTAAAGGAATAGCATTATTACTTGATGTTAGGGAGACTCCTATATATGTCGACCTCCATCTCTAACGGACAGGCAGACCTGCAAAAATGCTCAACCCTTTCTCTTATCTGAAAGGGCACTCCCAACGAAGCCTTTCGAAATATTCAGCTTTCTTTCCCCCCGATAATACCTCTGTAAACAAGCTATACTAGGGCAAGAATATCTCATATCATCAGGGTTAAAAGCAAGAGTATCCCATATCAGGCTTTTTCCCTGTCTTTTCCTTTGGCATTGTTCTTACCTGCAAGACAAGGAGAAAGAGAGCAATCAGTCAGCACTTGGAATCAAGCTTCCAGCCAGGAACTGACTGCCTGGAACCCCTTACCTGATTACTTACCTGGCATTGCTCTCGAATACTCATCTTCAACATCTTATGCTTCCAGGGAAGATACCGCATCTGCCTGAGGAACAAATAGGGCAAGTGAGAAGGATACAAGGAAGCATGTGGAGACAAGCGTAACAGTACACGTGCCGATACATCCACTACTCTGTCAAAAGCAAAAGTATCCCATATCAGCAGGGTCGAACGTACTCTAGATTTGATGGACTTGTTTTGACCCTCAAATTCTTCAGTCGGCCTTATACTCTGGAGGAAACCAGAAAACCCTCCAGCCCAGTTCAAGAATAAGCCTGTGGAAAGTTACTTCTTCAAAAGCAAAAGTATCCCATATCATCTCTCCTCACTTTTCTTCTCTTTATCCTTCATGCTGCCTGCAAGATAGGGAGAATGTGAACAATCAGCCGGAGCTCTGATTGCTTACCTTGTCTGTCACCTCTTTCAGCAGATCCCCTAGCTCGGCGACTTGGGGGACTCCTACTACATGGTTTGTATCGCGCTTGACCAAGCATGAAACTACAAGTAAGCTTCAAGTGAAATTGATACATTACCTTGTGCATCTCCACCAGTTACAGATACCACCCCTGGATGGAGGAAGAGTACTTCCAGAGAAGATGCCACATCTACCTATGAGACAGATAAGGCAAGTCAAGACGATACCACACTCCGGTACTTAGAAGTTTCGTGGCTACGAGATCATTCTCCCACAATATTTCCTAATGTCATTTGTACTAAATCATTCACTTGTACTCACTAAAGGAGAGCTTGAACCTATGTACTTGTGTAAACCCTTCACAATTAATGAGAACTCCTCTATTCCGTGGACGTAGCCAATCTGGGTGAACCACGTACATCTTGTGTTTGCTTTGTTGTGTAAACCCTTCACAATTAATGAGAACTCCTCTATTCCGTGGACGTAGCCAATCTGGGTGAACCACGTACATCTTGTGTTTGCTTTCCTATCTCTATCCATTTATATACTTATCCACACTAATGACCGGAGCAATCTAGCGAAGATCACAAAAAGTGACCGTTTTCGCTACCTAGGATCTATCTTGCAAGAGAACGGAGAATTAGATGGAGATCTCAAACATAGAATACAAGCTGGATGGATGAAGTGTAAGAGTGCATCCGGCGTGTTGTGTGACCGTCGTAGGCCACTGAAGCTCAAGGGAAAATTTTATAGGACGGCAATAAGGCCAGCGATGTTGTATGGCACAGAATGTTGGGCAGTGAAGCATCAACGTACACAAAATGGGTGTAACGGAGATGAGGATGCTTCGTGGGATGTATGGGCACACGAGAAAGGATAAGATTGGGAATGAGGTTATCCGAGGTAAAGTAGGAGTAGCCAAAATTGAAGGAAATATGAGAGAAAATCGGTTCCGGTGGTTTGGACATGTGCAAAGAAGGCCTTCTGACGCTCCGGTTCGAAAATGTGACTACGGGACAGAGGTTCAAGGCCGAAGGGGTAGAGGAAGACCTAGGAAAACTTTAGAAGAGACCCTAAGAAAAGACTTGAGTACTTGGATCTAATGGAGGACATGACACAAAACCGAGCGCAATGGCGTTCTAGGATTCATATAGCCGACCCCACTTAGTGGGAAAAGGCTTTGTTGTTGTTGTTGTTTCCTTTGGCCTTGTTCTTACCTACAAGACAAGGAGAAAGAGAGCAATCAGTCAGCACTTGGAATCAAGCTTCCAGTTAGGAACTGACTGCCTGGAACCCCTAACCTGATTACTTATCTGACATTGCTCTCGAGTACTCATCTTCAACATCTTATGCTTCCAGGGAAGATACCGCATCTGCCTGAGGAACAGATAGGGCAAGCGAGAAGGATACAAGGAAGCATGTGGAGACAAGCGTAACAGCACACGTGCCGATACATCCACTACTCTGTCAAAAGCAAAAGTATCCCATATCAGCAGGGTCGAACATACTCTAGATTTGATGGACTTGTTTTGACCCTCAAATTCTTCAGTCGGCCTTATACTGTGGAGGAAACCAGAAAACCCTCCAGCCCAGTTCAAGAATAAGCCTGTGGAAAGTTACTTCTTCAAAAAGCAAAAGTATCCCATATCATCTCTTTCTCATTTTTCTTTCTCTTTATCCTTCATGCTGCCTGCAAGATAGGGAGAATGTGAACAATCAGCCGGAGCTCTGATTGCTTACCTTGTCTGTCACCTCTTTCAGCAGATCCCCTAGCTCGGCGACTTGGGGGACTCCTACTACATGGTTTGTATCGCGTTTGACCAAACCTGAAACTACAAGTAAGCTTCAAGTGAAATTGATACATTACCTTGTGCATCTCCACCAGTTAAAGATACCACCCCTGGATGGAGGAAGAGTACTTCCAGAGAAGATGCCACATCTACCTATGAGACAGATAAGGCAAGTCAAGACGATACCACACTCCGGTACTTAGAAGTTTCGTGATTACGAGATCATTCTCCCACAATATTTCCTAATGTCATTTGTACTAAATCATTCACTTGTACTCACTAAAGGAGAGCTTGAACCTATGTACTTGTGTAAACCCTTCACAATTAATGAGAACTCCTCTATTCCGTGGACGTAGCCAATCTGGGTGAACCACGTACATCTTGTGTTTGCTTTCCTATCTCTACCCATTTATATACTTATCCACACTAATGACCGGAGCAATCTAGCGAAGATCACAAAAAGCGACCGTTTTCGCTACCTAGGATCTATCTTGCAAGAGAACGGAGAATTAGATGGAGATCTCAACCATAGAATACAAGCTGGATGGATGAAGTGTAAGAGTGCATCCGGCGTGTTGTGTGACCGTCGTAGGCCACTGAAGCTCAAGGGAAAATTTTATAGGACGGCAATAAGGCCAACGTAGTTGTATAGCACAGAATGTTGGGCGGTGAAACATCAACACGTACACAAAATGGGTGTAGCGGAGATGAGGATGCTTCGTGGGATGTGTGGGCACACGAGAAAGGATAAGATTGGGAATGAGGATATCCGAGGTAAAGTAGGAGTAGCCGAAATTGAGGAAATATGAGAGAAAATCAATTCCGGTGGTTTGGACATGTGCAAAGAAGGCCTACTGACGCTCCGGTTCGAAGATGTGACTACGGGACAGAGGTTCAGGGCCGAAAGGGTAGAGGAAGACCTAGGAAAACCTTGGAAGAGACCCTAAGAAAAGACTTGAGTACTTGGATCTAACGGAGAACATGATACAAAACCGAGCGCAATGACGTTCTAGGATTCATATAGCCGACCCTACTTAGTGGGAAAAGGCTTTGTTGTTGTTGTTGTTGTTGTAGTGCAATCTCTTCGGCTAAGTTGTCCCCACCTTAAAGCGAACAACAATGAAAACTAGACTACACAAACAATACAATTTCTTCCTACATACAGGACCTTCAACATCGAATATCCAAAAACAGCATCTTCCCAATCAAAGAACATGGCTAAGAAATATAGAACATGAAATTGAGAAAATACTGAGCCAATGTGGTGAACAAAATCTAACTTTATTTCATAACTACTCCTCGCCCAAATATGTAGTTTTCAAAAACCCTCGTGTTTCTCTCAAACCAAGAAACCCCAATAAATTGCTGGCATACTGCACCCTCACAAAAGCCTTCATATCACCACCAAACTACATATGTACCCTGCAGGAATTACCCAGCTTACATTTCCTTTCCTACACAATCTCAGCCACACATATAAAGCTAGAGGACAATGATAAAACACGTGATCTGCACTTTCTCTCAAGAGTACTTGTCAATTCAAGAATCAATACTAATTCAGACCACAAACATCCAATTGTTCAAAGAAAGCATCTTAAACCACTGCAAAGATCAAATACTAAGAAGTCTGCAGATTATTTAATTAAAAGCAACAAAGGATTAGGACGTCTAAAAATCTATCAATCAAGAACAATTATATTCAAACGCAAAAATTAAAACTATTGTAGAATGTTCAATATGCACAACCAACGGCATACAAGAAAGAAAGGGCAGAAAAGAACACGAGATGCTCACAAGTTCCTGCATTTTGACCCCGAAGTATTCAATTTTCTCTCTAGAATCCAAAATTATTTTCTCCAGTTCTTCTACCTGCAAAGAACAAAGGGAATCGCATCAAAAGGTTGAGGAAAAACAAGCTGAAAATGGAACAAAACTGCAATAAAGTATAATAAATGCTGTATAAAAAAGAAAGCATAATGAATGCCATGCACTAAAAACATGAGGAATGCCAATCATTAAAATTACTAATATCAAAGAACTGATCATGAACTTCAAAACCCGAACAGCCTGCCTACTTAAACTAGATCAAAATCATTTCCACTGAAATGAGCGATATTAAGAGCAAAGTAAAACCCACAATCACAAGAATTTCCAATCTTTGGGACATTAAGAGCATACATCACTTTGCTGCTTAAGCTGAAAAAATTGGGGAAACATTAAAGTTCTAAGTACCTTTTTTATCAACTTCGGTTGCTTCTTTGAACTTTGAATTCAGCGAGTTAACCTCATCTGTACTCAGTTGATTTACAAGATGTTTCTCCAATTCTGGTACTCTGGGTTTCTGCTGATTGGCCTGCTGCCTTTCCACAGCATGAGAAGGAGCAACTGGCTTCGGTGGCCTTCCTCCAGCTGGGGGCGCCATGTGTCGAGCACCAGGACCAGGCATCGATTGCTGTTGTTGAAAGCCTTTTAAGTGAAAAATAAGAAACTATTCTCCATCAAAGAAAGATGTACGGTTTCGAAAAAAGAAAAAAAAAGGTGATTTGTTTTATGGATGAATACCAGATGCAGGTCTCTAGGCTACATGGCCAGCACTGGAGTACTTATTTGCAGGTTGAAAAATATTGGATAAATCAAACATAATATTTCTTGGTAGCACTGCTGGAAGAGGGCATCCCTCCCTAAACTGCTCCATCATATATAGCGCAACACAAAACTCCCTGACAGAAAGCATGCTATCATTATCCTGATCGGAGATTGGGTCCAAACCTGCTTTAAAACCTCTGACAGATGTAAACAGAGCATAAAGTTAAGAGTGGGGGAACTTATAGCTTCCAAAAGTTATGTTTGTGGTCATACTATATAGGCGCATAACTGTAACTGAAGATTGGGTCCAAGCAGATACTGGCACAATGGTTGATGAGACGGGTATACTGCCAAGAGGAAAATTCTGCTTTGGTTGAGATGGGGTTGCAGAAAACACATCGACTCCAAAAGATGAGTAAGGAGCAAAGCCATTCCTAGATATATTTGATGGTTTGGAATCCTTAGCCGGTGGTCTGAACCCAAAACCTGCCTGTGGCCTAGGTGGTAGGGAAGTTGTTGGTCCTGATGTTGCCTGCCCAAATACATCTTGTGTTGCAGAAGGAGTGATCCCCTTTTTTACAATCTGCGAGGGTATCTCGGTCGTTGCTCCACTTGCCCTTCCACCAACCCAATCATTAGACATGTTTGAATTTTGTGGTTGAGGACCACCCACTGAACCTTCACTGGGAAAGCCTTGGGCAGCAACACTCTGTGTGGGCTGGGAATCAGAACTAGATGGAGGCACTGGAGGCCTAATTGACTTGCCATCTTGAGAAATGAAATTTTGCTGGTTCACATTCACACTTAATCCCCTGAACCCAAGATTCTGGGAGGATGTTGGAGTAACAGCATCACCCTGGGTCGCTGTTGGAGCAGAATTAAACTGAGATCGTATTTGTGGTCCCCTGAACTCAACATCTTGGGAGGACATCGGAGTGACAACACCACCCTGAGTGGCAGGTGCTGCTCCAAAAGAACTATACTGAGGTGGTATTTTTGGTCCCCTGAACCCAAGATTTTGTGAGGATGTCGGAGTGACAGCACCACCCTGAGTGGCAGGTGCTGCTGCAGCAGAATTGAACTGAGGGGCAGAAGTCGCTGCAAGATTTATCTTGGGTGCAGGTATTTTAGCTGCAGCCGGGCCATATAATGTTGCCTTCACCATTTCTGGCGTAAGTTCTCTCTTACTTGTGCCACCGTGACAAAGTCTAAGGGCATTGTAAAACTCTGCCTGACCAAGGAATCCAATATGCCTCTGGTCTGCATGTGCCTATATCTGCCAATAAACATAAGCAACCAATATAAATTAGAATAGATCCAAACTTCTGTTACAAAAAGATAATGAGAAAGTGCATTCATATAATCAATATTTAACATATAATTCATCTCATGAGATTAATCCGGATTATTCCCGAGACTTGAAGTTCTTGGTCCAAGTATACTAGTTTTGATGAGATAAATAACAGCAACCATGGAGCAGGATCCGGTCAGCGTAAACACAAGGTCAAAGAATTGAGTTCTAATAAATAAATACTGAATGTACTCCATAAAAAAATAAACAACAAAACCATTTCCCACTAAGTGGGGTCGGCCATAAAACAACAACAACAACAACAAACCCTTTTCCCACTAAGTGGGGTCGGCTATATGAATCCTAGAACGCCATTACGCTTGGTTTTGTGTCATGTCCTCCGTTAGATCCAAGTACTCTAAGTCTTTTCTTAGGGTCTCTTCCGAAATTTTTCTAGGTCTTCCTCTACCCCTTCGGCCCTGAACCTCTGTCCTGTAGTCACATCTTCGAACCGGAGCGTCAGTAGGCCTTCTTTGCACATGTCCAAACCACCATAACCGATTTTCTCTCATCTTTCCTTCAATTTCGGCCACTCCTACTTTACCTCGGATATCCTCATTCCCAATCTTATCCTTTCTCGTGTGCCCACACATCCCACGAAGCATCCTCATCTCCGCTACATCCATTTTGTGTACGTGTTGATGCTTCACCGCCCAACATTCTGTGCCATACCACATCGCTGACCTTATTGTCGTCCTATAAAATTTTCCCTTGAGCTTCAGTGGCCTACGACGGTCACACAACACGCCGGATGCACTCTTACACTTCATCCATCCAGCTTGTATTCTATGGTTGAGATCTCCATCTAATTCTCCGTTCTCTTACAAGATAGATCCTAGGTAGCGAAAACGATCGCTTTTTGTGATCTTCGCTAGATTGCTCCGGTCATTAGTGTGGATAAGTATATAAATGGATAGAGATAGGAAAGCAAACACAAGATGTACGTGGTTCACCCAGATTGGCTACGTCCACGGAATAGAGGAGTTCTCATTAATTGTGAAGGGTTTACACAAGTACATAGGTTCAAACTCTCCTTTAGTGAGTACAAGTGAATGATTTAGTACAAATGACATTAGGAAATATTGTGGGAGAATGATCTCGTAGTCACGAAACTTCTAAGTACCAGAGTGGTATCGTCTTGACTTGCCTTATCTGTCTCATAGGTAGATGTGGCATCTTCTCTGGAAGTACTCTTCTCCATCCAGGGGTGGTATCATTAACTGGTGGAGATGCACAAGGTAATGTATCAATTTCCCTTGAAGCTTACTTGTAGTTTCAGGCTTGGTCAAGCGCGATACAAACCATACAGTAGGAGTCCCCTAAGTCGCCAAGCTAGGGGATATGCTGAAAGAGGTGACAGACAAGGTAAGCAATCAGAGCTTCAAACAATCAGTCCCAAATCAGAACTTTGATTTTGAGTTCCGGCTGATTGTTCACATTCTCCCTATCTTGCAGGCAGCATAAAGGATAAAGAGAAGAAAAATGAGAAGAGATGATATGGGATACTTTTGCTTTTGAAGAAGTAACTTTCCACAGGCTTATTCTTGAACTGGGCTGGAGGGTTTTCTGGTTTCCTCCAGAGTATAAGACCGACTGAAGAATTTGAGGGTCAAAACAAGTCCATCAAATCTAGAGTATGTTCGACCCTGCTGATATGGGATACTTTTGCTTTTGACAGAGTAGTGGATGTATCGGCACGTGTGCTGTTACGCTTGTCTCCACATGCTTCCTTGTATCCTTCTCGCTTGCCCTATCTGTTCCTCAGGCAGATGCGGTATCTTCCCTGGAAGCATAAGATGTTGAAGATGAGTACTCGAGAGCAATGTCAAGTAAATAATCAGATAAGGGGTTCCAGGCAGTCAGTTCCTGACTGGAAGCTTGATTCCAAGTGCTGACTGATTGCTCTCTCTCCTTGTCTTGCAGGTAAGAACAAGGCCAAAGGGAAAGACAGGGAAAAAGCATGATATGGGATACTCTTGCTTTTAACCCTGATGATATGAGATATTCTTGCTCTAGTATAGCTTGTTTGCAGAGGTATTATCGGGGGGAAAGAAAGCTGTATATTTCGAAAGGCTTCGTTGGGAGTGCCCTCTCAGATATGAGGAAGGGTTGAGCATTTTTGCAGGTCTGTCTGTCCGTTGGGGATGGAAGTCGACATATATAAGAGTCTCCCTAACAACAAGTAGTAATGCTATTCCTTTACCCTGCTTGGTCATGGCACGATAGTGGGAGCTGCCAGCTTCACATGTTTTAACTCTGTCAGAGCACTTTGAAAAAGTGGTCTGTTGTATCTGGAAAGCTGATGTTGCGTGTGAAGATTACAGACAAGCTTTATCCAAGGAGATCCGACTTTTGAAGTTGGGAAAGTGGTGCCTTTTCGGTTTTGAACAAGCAATCCTGTCGAGGATCTGGCTCTCGAGATTCGGAGAACGATGTCTCTTCGATTTTTGAGAAAGTAATCACGCTAGGGGTCTGGCTCTCGAGATTCGGAGAGCGGTGTCTCTTCGATTTTTGAGAAAGTAATCATGTTGGAAGTCTGGCTCTCGAGATTCGGAGGGCGGTGCCTCTTCGATTTTGGAGCAAGCAATCTTGTTGGAAGTTTTCTCGAATATGAGTAAAGGTTGGGCATGTGTGCTAGTCTACCTTGCCACGAAGCACAAAGGTTAACACACATGGACTTTCCAATTATTCAGCAGTGGTACTGTTCCTTTACCCTTGTGGGTAATAATATGGTAGCTAGACCTTCAAAATTTATGTGTCTAAACTTTGTTAGTGCTGTTTCTTTGCTATTCTTTTACCCTTCTTGGTCAGAGCGATGTAGTGGGAGCTGCAAGCTTCACGTGTCTCAACTTTGTCAGAGAACTTTGGCAAAGTTATCTGTGGTACCCATGAGCTAATGTTGCGTGTGGGAAGTGGGTGATTGAACAGTAAGATTCATGTGCTTTCTACTTCACCAGAAATCTTCGACAGAATGCCCATAATTTCCACAAAGCTGAGTGTGCGTGTGACAGGTGCTGACAAGGCTGGAAAAGTAGGTGCCTCTTCGATTTCTGAGATCGGCCCTCGTGATCTCTGAGCAGCCCAGCTTTTGAGAAAGCAAGCGCATCTTCGATTTCTGAGATCGGCCTTCGTGGTCTTTGAGCAGCCCAGCTTTTGAGAAAGCAAACGCTTCTTCGATTTCTGAGATCGACCCTCGTGGTCTCTGAGCAGCACAGCTTTTGAGAAAGCAAACGCCTCTTCGATTTCTGAGCAGGCGCCTCTTCGATTTCTGAAGCTCCGTCGAGTACAGATTTTTATAGAGGCTGACATTAAGTTCCAAAGCACACTTGAATCTCCACCAGTAGAAGCTCTATTCTTGCACTTCTAAGATCTTGATTTGTCCGACCTCTTCTCTCTTCAACACCTTTGAAAATGTCTGGCCCCTCCAACCGTCGTTTTGACTTGAACCTTGTTGAAGAGGCAGCCACGCCTTCTCCAGACAACATATGGCGCCCATCCTTCGTCTCCCCTACTGGTCCTCTTACCGTTGGGGATTCCGTGATGAAGAATGATATAACCGCTGCGGTGGTGGCCAGGAACCTTCTCACTCCCAAAGATAACAAACTACTTTCCAAACAGTCTGATGAGTTGGCTGTTAAGGATTCTTTGGCTCTCAGTGTTCAGTATGCAGGTTCTGTGTCTAATATGGCCCAACGCCTATTTGCTCGAACCCGCCAAGTTGAATCATTGGCGGCTGAAGTGATAAGTCTCAAACAGGAGATTAGAGGGCTCAAGCATCAGAATAAACAGTTGCACCGGCTCGCACATGACTATGCTACAAACATAAAGAGGAAGCTTGACCAGATGAAGGAATCTGATGGTCAGGTTTTACTTGATCATCAGATATTTGTGGGTTTGTTCCAAAGGCATTTATTGCCTTCGTCTTCTGGGACTGTACCGCGTAATGAAGCTCCAAATGATCAACCTCTGATGCCTCCTTCTAGGGTTCTGTCCAGTACGGAGGCTCCGAATGATCCCCCTCCGGTGCCTTCTCTTTCTGGGGCTCTACCGACTGCTGAGACTTCTCCTAAGCAACATTTGTGAAGGCTCCCTCATGAGTGTTTATTTTGACTCATGTATATGTACATATTTGTAACTTATCGAGGATATCAATATATAAACTTTCATTCATTTCAACGTATTGTGTTATATACACCAAAACCTTCCTCGCTAAGTTCTTTGAATTTTCTTTTGTTGAAGCTTGTATGTTGAAGCTTTGTGAGTGGAGCATGTAGGTTGAGGTAGTGTTCCCTTAATTTCCCAAGGGAGGAAAACTTCTCGGTTGGAGACTTGAAAAATCCAAGTCACTAAGTGGGATCGGCTATATGAATCTTAGAACGCCATTGTGCTCGATCCTGTGTCATGTCCTCCGTTAGATCCAAGTACTCTAAGTCTTTTCTTAAAGTCTGTTCCAAAGTTTTCCTAGGTCTTCCTCTACCCCTTTGTCCCTGAACCTCTGTCCCATAGTTGCATCTTCTAATCGGAGCGTCAGTAGGCCTTCTTTGCACATGTTCAAACCACCGTAACCGATTTTCTCTCATCTTTCCTTCAATTTCGGTTACTCCTACTTTACCCCGGATATCCTCATTCCTAATCTTATCCTTTCTCGTGTGCCCACACATCCAACGAAGCATCCTCATCTCCGCTACGCCCATTTTGTGTACGTGTTGATGCTTCACCGCCCAACATTCTGTGCCATACAGCATCGCCGGCCTTATTGCCGTCCTATAAAATTTTCCCTTGAGCTTCAGTGGCATACGGCGGTCACACAACACGCCGGATGCACTCTTCCAATTCATCCATCCAGCTTGTATTCTATGGTTGAGATCTCCATCTAATTCTCCGTTCTTTTGCAAGATAGATCCTAGGTAACGAAAACGATCGCT